CATTATCCAAAGTCTTCCATTGTGGACAGTGCCCATATGTGACTGGCAAACTCCTAATAAAAGACTGGGTTTATGACATCTCTGTCACTTCCTATTCCAGCATGAACCTCCGGACTTGAGCTAAAAATTATACAAGACCAGTGTTAACCAGGTTAACTAGAATTCAGACTTTCTTGCTTGACTGACTGCCGTATTCCAATGAAGACTGGACTACTGATTTATTTTATTTATTGGATTTATATACCACCCATCTGCCATCCAAGGCCACTCGGGGCGGTTAACAACAAATAACAATAACAACAGAGTAACAAAATACCCTGTTTCCCCCCAAAATAAGACCTAACCTGAAAATAAGCCCTAGTATGATATTTCAGAATGCTCGTAATATAAGCCCTACCCCCAAAATAAGCCCCGGTTAAGTGAAACCACGCCCTCCGCCATTGTGCAGCAACCAGAAGATGATGACATGACTGAAAAATAAAACATCCCCTGAAAATAAGCCCTAATACATTTTTGGAGCAAAAATTAATATAAGACTCTGTCTTATTTTCAGGGAAACACGGTAGCAAATAGCAACATTAATACATAGGGGTGAAAATAAAAAAAAAATTCCCATGTTCCTAAGCTGGGTGTGGATTACTAGCCACTCCCAAGTTTTGCTTTTTGGCAGTTTCGGAGCTCTGTGTGTCCCCGGGAGATGTTCTGTGGGCAGAAAAGTGTGTGGATGTTCTAATGCGCATGCAGGAGTTGGAGAATTTCACATCAGTCTATAAAGCCATTGGGCAATATGAAAAACACAGTAAAAAAAACCCAACAACCCCAGACCCAAGTGAACAATACAGAGCTCTCTGCATGAAACTGGGCTACATTTCCAGTCATCCTTCGCCATACAGCTGATGGGGGCTTTGGGTCCAGCAGTACCAGATGCAAAGTAGAATTCATTGTCCCAATGGCAAGCCCATTTTTTTTCAACAGAAGTAAAACTCCATCCCCAAGTTGTCAGATCGCTATTCTGTGATGCGGAACACTTGTGTGGACTAAATGTTGAATCATTTTAACAGTTTGAATGAGAATAAAAATGGAGTGCAGTACTCTTTTTATAAACAACAACAGAACCGCAGAGCTGCACAAACCCCTCTTGAGTTTGAGTCCAGCCCCTGGCAAGGAGGCACAGGAGGGAATCAAACCCCCAACCTCTGACTCCACAGCCTAAACTGCTGGGCTATCCATATGCCATGCAAGTGTCTTTAGCAATCTTCAGTGTTAAGTGCATCCATCAGTCTCTCGGATTTTAAGTGTCATCCTATATATTCATAAACATTCGATTCATGTGAAAGATCTGTGTTGATGACACCCTGAGGTTCAAGTAGTTTTCTATATCTCCAGGTTCAGACAGTAATTTCAGGCTCTTACTATGAATAGGTTGTACATTCCTTTAAAAAACAACAACAACCCTACTTTGCTGAAAATGTGTACTTGAACAATATGTCTGGTGCTCTTGGAGTTGAGAATTCCTCAGTGTTTCCAGACAGATTTATAATGAAAGCTTAGTAGGTTCTGTATTTTGAATATGTGGCAGGCTTCAAGTCCCAAGCATCAAAATACATGCTTTTTCAGAGGACCCGATGATACCATTTTTATTTTATGAAGGCCTGCACATTTGAAAGAAAGAGGAATTTATTTTTTTAAAAAAACTACTTTGAGAAATTTTCCGAGTAGCTTCACAGTGGATGATTATTTTGGTGATCAAAGCTCATTGGAGCAGGCATTTGTGAATCCACTTGGATGGTGAGCAGTGAGTAGCCGAATAGTGCATTTTTAGAGAGTTGAAGACTTGGCTTCAAGGAAGTTGTTGAAAATCCTGGAGATTTAATAGCATTCCTAAAGGTTTCCAACATTATATATGGATGGGGGGGGCAGGTGTATGACAACCATAACTTCAGTCATCAGTGGAAAATACAACTAATCAAGGCTGTTATTTCTTAATTTCATATATTTTTTAAAAGTATGCATTTCTGGAGATGAAAACCCAATTTGAGAAGTGCAGTACTTTATGGTGGTATGTTCTTCACTGAGCACTAGTCTGAGTTCACAGTACACTAAAAAGATTAAAAGACCAATCTGTACAGAAGCCTGTAAAGCTCCATAAAACTGAGGCTCGAGTCCAAGAACTGTTGTAACCTATTTGCAACACTTTAATATCATGCAGAATCACAAGTTTTAATAGTCACTGCTTCATGAGATCTTGAACTGTAACACATTTTAAATTAAATGATCATGTATGGCTTTTTAAAATACAAAATGCATCTCAACAATCACAAAGAATTCAAGTAACATTTAAAAATTCTTCTTACTTCCTTGCTTACATTTTTAATCCTGCCCAACTAGTAGCAAGGCTACTAGTCTGGGGAGCAGAAACAACAGGGCATAAGTGTTACATAACAGCACTGATGTTACCTGTCTGTCATGGGTTTGGAGGGAAAGTTCCATCCTATGGGGAGTGGAAGGCGGGACATCAGGAGGAGGGGCTGTACTGTATAAATATGTGATGCCTGTGTGGTGAGGGAGAGATGCTGAGACAGACACTGTGAGACACTGGGTTGTGACGAAGCAGCAGCTGGGAAGAAGAAGCTGTTGTGGGAGTCTGTGTGTCAGACAGGGTGCTTCTGTGTGTCAGAGTACCAACCTGATAGGTTCAGGTGTCTGTTGGTTAGCCAGAACTGATAGGTTCAGGGTCTGTGCTTTAAGTTAAAGGTTCTGGGTGAACCAAACTGTATGCTTGTATGAGTGAGAATAAGCCACGTTACTTTATCCTATTCACCTGATTGTTTATTTTCCCTGTGTGTATTTAAATAAACCTAATTCTTTTATTATTTAAAAATCCATCCCTGGTCTGTGTGACTTATTAAAGGGAATGGTTGGTGGCAGCTTAGAATTCAAGTAACATTTAAAAATTCTTCTTACTTCCTTGCTTACATTTTTAATCCTGCCCAACTAGTAGCAAGGCTACTAGTCTGGGGAGCAGAAACAACAGGGCATAAGAATAACAGGGAAAAGAAAATAATGACACACATAGAAAAGAAAGAATTCGAAATCATGGGACCAACATACCGTATTTTTGCTCCATAAGACGCACTTCCCCTCCCCCAAAAAGTGGGGGGGGGAGGCTGTGCATCTTATGGAGAGAAGCTGGCGATTTTGTCCCCACT